TATTTCTGTTTTTTTGCATCTGTGGTGTTTAATATAGAGAAATGTATGATGTTTAGACCAGTTTAGGGATCTTGTTATGATCGTATTTTGAGGGAGAAAAAAACAAAATTATTGTGGAATTTTTTTTAAAAAAAAGTGATTTTTTTTTTAGGTTTTGTAGGTCTTTCTATTCTCTGCATTTCAGTGATGTTAATGTTGGTGTAAATTTATTTTTGCTTTCTTTAAAAAAAAATTCTCTCCATTTTTTAACATCTATTTGTCGTTATGATTTCTTTATTCACAAAGAATGCCGGTAGATAGAACGAGAAGATGATCCTCAACAACAAAGAAATGTAAAACCAAACATCAAGGAGGTGGCTAGTGGCAGTGGTGGATCACCTCCCCCACCCCCTCCAGGGTTGAAGCAGGAGGGGGAAGAAAGTAGGAGGGTTGTGTGGGCTTTGTGTGTGGGGTATTAAAGAAAGAAAAATAAGATTTTTTATGTTTGTGCATGTGGTATTAATTTTCATTAAAGGTATAAATGTCATTACCTATTTATTATTTTGGCGGTATTAAAATGAGAAACAATTGGTATTTCAAATTTCCGTCCCCTTTGTTAAATTTGTATTATTTATTATTAAGTTAATTACAGATTACCCCTGAAGTATACCCTTTGTAAATGATACCCCCTAATGTACCATTTGTAACAAATACGCCCTCAATCCACCAAAAATCGTGAAACATCTAACGGTGTTAATAAAATGTGTGCACTTACCGTATTATTCTTGCTGAGGTAGCTAAAATCCCTTAAATACTAAAAACAATCGAGGGAAATACAAAACGCAAATTACTAATATCTTTCAATTCTCTCCCAAAAAAACTCTAACCTTCCTCTAAAATTAATCTATGTGATCTTCGTATGTTTAAAGGAAGTCTACGAAATGACAACGGCCATCAAGTAATTATAGCCGATCTTTGATAGAGTAATACACAGGTTAGTGTTTAATTTGGCTATTCCATGATTTTCATTTTAACAAAAAAAAGCGAGTTCTCTTGAAACGCTTCAGTTTCTTCTTCTTCTTTTTTTTATGATAATAGATTTTTTATTTTGGTATTTCTAGCTTTGTTGTTCTAGTTGATTTGGGAATTAAGTAAATTATCCATACAAAATTATTGGGAAATTTTATTTACTAAAAAATATTGGTGGGTTAATTTGGAATCTACAAAATAAGTCTTCCCAATTTTTTTGCGTTAAATTCTTAAATATTTGGCATGTTAAGTTGATATTTTATTTATTCATTGAGAAAATGACTATTTTATTTTTTGTGCTTATAAAATAGTATAGTATTAGATTTTTTTTTTTCATTAACAAGCCCTTGCCCTTTTTGGATATTCTCTTGTTTGATTCTCAATATTTTATGGTTGGATGAGTAATGGTAGAAAGTTATGAACTTGCTGTGTGATATATCTTTTTTCTTCCACCACAGTTAATTAATTTTCAAAAACATTATTTATCTTACCTTTTTTTTTTAAGTAAATATTTATCTTACTTTTAGTAAATATGTTTTTAATTTGAATTATAGGAAATATGGAGGATAATTTGTTCAGACTAAAAGTTAATCATGGTGGAAAGCTGATAAGAGACCCAGAAAGAGCTTCTTATGTCAATTGTTGTAGAATTCTAATGTTGCAACTTGGGAAAGAGGAAGGGACAGAGCTTTGGGAAGAGGCAGAGGCAATGGTCCATTGTGTAGAATAGGCATAGGAAGGGGAAGGGGCTTTTTGACGTCCAAGCGATGCGAATTGGTGCGGGTCTTGCACACCTAAAATTTATACTTGCAAAATTAGACATGTAATAGTTAGAGGAGTGTCATGAATCACGTGAGAACCGAGAGTTTGACGAGTAAGAACCCCCGACATTGTGTAAAAAATAAATACAAGTGAAATTTGCTGCCAAATTGTGAGTGAAATGTGCCGAAAATTGGATAAAATGTGTGTGTAATAAGCTTGTTCATATATATACAAAATGAAGGGGTATTTTTGTCCTCAGTCCAATGACTATATTATTCAGCAGCTATGCACCGCCATGTCTGCAATTTTCAAACGGTAACCTTACAGTTGGTGGATGGAGGGGGTAGTTACTCGCCAAAATTCGCCTATTGCCTAGATTATTAGCCGCAAAATTTGAATTTCTAGAAGAAATTTTGAACCGCCATTTCGGCCAAAAAAATCAAAATCTACATTTATATATATATATATATATATATATATATATATATATATATATATATATATATATATATATATATATATATATATATATATTTGTAGTTTTATACAAAATTATTTTTCTTGACATGAAAGTTGAATAATGGAACATGTTTTAGAAGCTTTTCAAAAAAACAACTCAGTCACATGTGTTTGCACATCTCCTTGCCAATTCATAATTGCTGATTATTTTACTGCTAGATAGGGGTGTTAATTTGTTCGAGATAGGGGTCTTCATTTGTTCGGTAACTCGATCGATTCAAGCCGAACATAAAATTTGACACATATCTAATGCCGAATCGGTAATTATATTTCTTCATTTCTAACATTTCCGTATCTCATTCAATTTTACCGAATACCGATTTTTTTAATATATATTTTTGTTAATTATTTTGTGGAATTAAATTCTCAGGGGATGCTCCGTATACCTAAGAAAAGCGGATGCCACAGATTGCAAGACATGTGGCATATTTTATTTTTAAACTTATATAATTATTATTCCCCTAACCGTCGTTAATTAATTAGGTTTAGGACTCCTTGGGAAACTAAACAGCATAAAACGCAAAGAACAACAAACCAAAAACACAAACGCCATATACAAATTCTTTAATTCTTCGATCTCAGAATAAAAAAAAGTGGCAACACGTTCAGGAACGCCATATATAACGTTCTTCGAGGTATGTTATTTAACGATAGACAAGTACTTTAATCAGCCACATAAGACTTTTAATAAGATTTTACGAAGTACTAAAACGAACCAAACTTAATTTTGCTTGTCACACACTTTTTTTTTCGTTCTTTCTTAGAAACATGAGATAGTTTTGATAATTACTTTGACAAGTAACTAAAAATAATAACTTTATTTTAAAACCACATAATCTGTTAATCAATAGTTTAAAATCAAGGAATCATTTTAAGTATTTTAATCTACAGCTTTTACCAAAATTTGAAATCTTCAGTTTTAATTTGTTATTTTCTTGTGTGCTCATTGTGTAATTGTTTTTATGAATAGTAATGGCAAGTACAAGTGTCGAGATGGTAGATAGGAGCATAATTGATGTCCCTTAAAAAATGTGGACTTCCAATCAGCTTGAATCAGAAAATAACGGAAAATCTCAAGAGCATAAGTTTCCTCTTGAACAATGTAAAGACATGGTATTTGATAGTGCATTAGATGCTAAGACTTGTTATAAAGCATATGCATGGCATGTCGGATTTGGTACAAAAGCAAATCATACTCGGTTGACTGTTGTCACAGTCAGACAAATCACTGATTGGACAATCTAAACAAAAAGATCAAGAAAAAACAAAGCAAGCCAAACGAACTCAATCAGAGACAAAAATAGGATGTAAAGCAATGATGCGCTTGAGTTTAAATCGAGATATAGGAAAATGGGTGGTAGCGAAGTTCATTACTGATCATAACCATGAGCTTTATACTCCAAGGATTACTTTGTTAGAAACACTAGCCAACAATTTATCCAATATATTGGTTACTTTGTTAGATCCACCGCATGTTTCTTCAAAAGGACGACCTAAGCCTTTAAAGCGAAAGCATCCTATGGAGACTCAAGTTGGCAAAAAAAGAAAATGTAGCATTTGCAAACAAACTGGACATATCAAGACCAGCTATTCATTGTAAGTTTTTATTATTGTAAATTTTACGTTTTTTTTAAATTATATTTTTCAGTTGTTTATTTACTTTATACATTTTCCTATTTTAGGCAAAATGCTACTTCAAACCGTTCACAAAATTTTTATTAGGTAAAATGTAATAATTTTTTTAAGTTACTACATGCATTTTACTTGAATTCTTTTAGTATTAATTAGGGTGTATACGTTTAAGGAGTTGCCAACTATGAGATATTATGCACCTCCTCCATCTTTGATGCCTAAAAATCAAGAACCTCCAAGTTTTACGGTAGGCAATTAAATTTTAAACGTGTCGACTAGAAGTTTTGTTTAGTTTTCATTAGTTTATTTAGATTGATTTGATTGTACATTTTTTTTTTTATAGGAATTGTTTACGGCTGATGGTGGTAACCACAAAGTAGATCCTGGACACCATTGAATGTAGAAAGTTTGTTGCAAATGCTTTGAAACGAAACGTGCAATGTCTTCAGAATTTAATTTGCTTATTCTAATTTTTCTTTTTTTTACTTTTTGCATGGGTGGTAACTTACTCTAGCATTTTATTGTTTTGTTTTGACTGTTTGGATGACAATTTTTATTGTTTACTAAAGTCCAATGAAAATGAATTATGGATTGTTCTAGTAATTGGTCTTTGTCTTTCAAGGGTTGTTCTTTTTAATTTTGAAATTATCTTCTGCAAACAAAATCGTGTCATGAAAAATTATAAATAACATTTTCACTGAAACTCGAAAGAGTTCAAGAAATTTTTAAACCTCGTCCTCATTGAAAGTTCGAGCTTCATTCATTTAGATTCAAACGGTGTTAAAGTCAAAAAAATGTCAAACAACTAGCCGTGATGGCTATATTAAGACAATTTTTCAATTATAGAAGAACAAATCGATACAATCAAGAGTAGAAGGGGTAAAGTGATAGCGAACCAATGTACAAGGGGAGAAAGTGAAATTTACTCATATTTTTAATGAAATTATGCGGTAATTCAGTAATTTACCGAACCAAACGGTATATTTATGTTCGGTAAACGATATACAATTTTTGATACGGAACGACCACCCCGATTGCTAGACGATCTAGCAATCAGTATCAAAAACTAAAGTAATTAAAATTTAAATGTAACACGTAACACAAAACTAATTATCAGTGCAACATAATTTATTCGGAAATCACGAAACGAAGATCCATAATCAAACAACTTGCGGAAATGAAAACACGAGATCATATCACACACGATTTCACAGCGCAAGGAAACCTTATTTCACACATCGATCAGAAACATAGGAAAACGATCGGAAGCTAGCAAACACGAGCATGCATGTGGAAATCATGCATCAATTAATTAAAACTAATGATCAAGTACTACCGGCAGCCGGTTTCGGTGGATTCTCGACAATCTTGATACCACCAATGGTAACACCGGGCCTTGATGCCTCGGCACCAGCGTCACCACGATTGTGTCGTCGTCATCGATATCCATGTCATCGTAGAGCTCAGTCAGCTTCAGCTTAATGGAAGATGTCGAACTATTATTGTTCGCAGATTTATGCGGCACCTGCGCGTACGTGCCCAAGTACGCGGCCTTGTCGAGCTCGCCGGGGTTATCGTCCTCGTCGTTCACAAACACGTCAAACTTGAGCAGCTTCGTCGTGTCGACCTTGATATCCTCGAGCACCAGAGACTCGTCTGCTTTCCCCTTCTTCGTCTTGTCCACCTGGAACCTCACCACTCCGTCAAGCGTCAGAGGGAACAGCGCCGCCGCCTTGGGTGCGGCGGTGGAGCTTGCCCTGTTGATCTTCGCCCTAGCCGACTGCCGCGGCGGTCTGTAGTCCAGCCACGGAAGATCGATCCTCTCGAAATCGTATCCCATTCGTAAGTTGTCCAGGCAGTCCTTCACCGTAACGCGCACCAACTGCGCGTTCTCGTCGTAGAATAAGAAAGCAGTGTTCAAGAAATCAGTGTCGGTTATCCTCTTGTCGGGGACTTTGTTGCTCGGGAGGAAGTACTGCCACAGCGTCCACATGCGGTCCACGTTGGCGTGGTGGCTGTAGAATAGCGGGTCCCGCCCGGCGGAGTAGAAGTTCCCCATGTCTTCACCGCTGGGCTGATCCTTGAAATCTCCAACCCACGCGTGGACGGATGTGTGGGAGCCACGCTCCGAGGAACCCGCCGCCTTGGCCGAGCTCTCGTCACCCTCGCGGTAAGCCTGCCCCATGAAGTCGTTGGCGTCGGAGTTGCCGCGGATCATCTCGCTGTACATGATGGTGAGGTTGTTGGCCACCACCTGGAGAGTGTCGGTGCTGTTCGTAAGGCCGAGATCCACCACCGCCGGCGGCAGGTGTTCCTGGTTGCGCTTCTTGTCGTAGAGGGAGGATTTGGGGTCAACGAACATGGGGGGCATTGTCATGCCTTTAGGGTTGTCCCAGTTCCAGAAGGGCAAGGCGAAGGTGGGATCTCCGATGAGTTTCCCGAGGATTCTTTCGTAGAAGTATAGATACCATCTGTGGAAGGGGAAGAAGAGCCATGAGTTGTGGATTTGGAGGTCGAGTGTGCCCTGCCCCGGCTGATCGTACGCGCCGTTGCAGTACGCGCAGTGGATGTTCGCTTGCTGCATGAAGTTACGCGGATCGTCTTTCGGGAGGCGCTTCATGCGGTCGATGGCGGTGTTGAACTTGAACATGTACTCGGGGGATACGCGGTGGGCGGAGGGACGGATTTTCATCTGGAAGACGGGGGGGAGTTTGTAGTCGATGATTCGGTCGGATATCGGGGGGCAGCAGTTGATGTCGAGTTTCTCCCCGTTGTTCAAGTTGGTGGCCGTGCCGCACTTGTTCAGCTCCGGCGCCTGTATGGGGTTCGCCGCGGCGGATGGAGTGGAGGCTAGGGTGGTGGCGCCGTAAAGTCCGCCCATGCCGACGAGCATGTTCCTCCTGTCGACGACCTTTGCGGTTGGTTTCTTCGTCTCGTCGTTTTGGTTTTGAGGGGTGGAGGAGCAAGAAACATGGTGGAGGCGATTGGTGAGCTTTGCATGGGTGATGAAATGTGAATGTGATGGCTTAGGGAGGAGTGGGCGGGGGTGGGAGGAGGGGGTGGCGGAGATGGCGGTGTTGGTGGTGGCGCAGGATAGATAAAGAGATGTCATTGCAAAATATGTATTTTGGGATGGGGTTTATGTTGGAAGTGCCATCACCAATTTATAGAGGGATAATAGGAATTCTTCGACCCCACACCCCGATGATAAACATCGGGTGGGTCTTCTGCTGCCACGTGTCATTTTTTATATTTTATAATATATTCCTCGCTAGGGTTTATGTTTAAGACTTTAGAAAAATAAAATAAAAAAAGACACGTAGCAGCAGAAGATCCACTTAGTATTTATCACCGGATGTAGCCGTGTAGGGTCGAACGAGCTGGATAATAGTGTAGACTGTAAATTGGTGGGGTGATACATGATAATTGACCATGTTATTAGCGTGCTGTATGTTTTTATTATTTTTAAAATACATGTGATTTATTGTATAAAAATAAAAATTGATTGCACGAGATGTGAACTACATGATTGAATAGCTTTTTTATTTTATTTTTTTTCTTTGTAATAAATCTAATAGCTCTTTATTCACTGGAAAAGTTACTTCTTTTTTGGTGGAAAGTGGATAAGTGCTATTGGGAAAAGAAAAAGGAAACAAAGGCCAATGTTTTCTTGCAATTTTTCAATTTTTCGTGGATTTTAATTCAAAATCGGAATAATGCTTTTCAATCCGAGTCTCAGATGTTCCAATGTTTTTGTTATTTTGTTTCCCTTCTTTTGTTGTTTATTTTTTATTTTTACTTTTTCTAAATTTTACCTTATCAGTCAAAATTAGGAGCTGCCAATTAAAAAATATTATTTATTATTTATTTTTTCTAAAATATCTACTCTAACGGTTGGTTCTCGGTTCAAAAATGAGGAATTGGAACCGAACCGATTTTTTCTGTTTCGGATCCGGTTTCGGTCCTGTTCTAAAACCGTTGACGCCGATTCGGTTCCGATTCCAGTTTTGGTTCTAACCGAACCGGTGGTCATCTCTAGATTAGTACCGAATTGAGTTACGAATTTTATTGGAACATATACTTATAAATATATTATAACAACAATATATATATACTTGATTTCATTTATCAAAATTTTAATTTCCCTCGTGTATGTTCTCATTTACGTACGTTGCACTTATATACACACAAGATTACACTTATAAAATTCAAAATATTTCAACTTCGCACGCAATACGTTTCACTCCAATCTACAAAGTTCCATTTTTTTTTTATTCTTCCGTAACCTTAAACGGTATTATAATTTAATTTCAAAATAATATTTTTTTTGTTTTTATAAAAGTGCTGATCATTATTATTATTATTTTCTAAAATTATTATATAAAAGTGCAGCTAATCCTGATAAAATGGACGGTGCATTTAAATCCAAATGAACTTTTAGAACTAAATCACAAAAATTAAAATATCTATATCCCAAAATAGCTAGTACTGGATATTAGTAGGTCCAAACAACACTTTCCATTTCAAAGAAAAAATCATAACACTTCACATGAATCTGCATACAGCTGTTAATTTCAAATCAAATCTCAAATTATAAATCTGTTATTTTCAGTCTGCAACGAATATTAATGGCTTTATTCGATTATTCTGGGGGAAGGGTCTGATTGTTTCTTTTTCCCAGAATTAGTGAATATTTATAAATTTTGTTGAAATACTATATTTTAATTGTATAACATTATATAGTAATAAAAACAAAATATATATTAATCTACATAGGAGTACGAAGAAGAAGAAAAAAATGGGACCAAAACCTTATTTACATAATATTACAAAAGTAGAACCTAAAATAATTAGTGTAAAGAAATAATTTTTGGGGGGTGGTGATGCAATATTTTGCACACCCACAACCTCCTTCCAAACACATTTCGGAATGATGACCTGGCGCCGGAATCTATGGCCGGTGAGGGCAAAATACAGATCGTAATTAGGGATGTGAAAGAGCCGAGCTCGCCTCTTTTGGCAGGCTCGAGCTTCTATTTTGTCGAGCTCGAGCTCGTTGAGTTCCTCCTTTTTTGGCTCGAGCTCGAGCTCATGTCAATTTTGTCGAGCTCGAGCCTATACTCATTTTGTTTTTGTTTTTAAATATTTTTATAATTATTAAAAATTATTTTAAAAAAATTACAAAATAAAAACTAAATTGTAATTATATATATTTTTTATATTTTTACTTATATTTATTTATATAATATTTTATATTATTATACATTGTTTAAATAAAAATAATATATAAAAAAATAAAATAAAAATAATAAATATGACCGCGAGCCGGCTCGCGATCACACGAACAACTAAAATCTGGCTCGAGCTCGGCTCGTCAGAAAGCTCGAGCTCGAGCTCGAAAAAAACTCGAGTCCGAGCTTTTTTTAAGCCGGCTCGTCGAGCTCAATGGCGGACCTAGTTGGGGGGGGGGGGGGGGTGCCCGGGTGGGGGTTTTTTT